AAGCTGTGAAACTGACAAGTTACTTAATTAACCTTTTTGTGCCTCAGTTTCATCTGTAAAATGGGGGTAATTATAGGACCTACTTTATAATGTCAGTGTGAGGACTAAAAAGAAACACATATAAAGCAACTGGAATAAAATCTGTACAAAGGTTCAATGAATGTTAGAATTTATAAAAGCCAAGTTTGCTAAATATGGTCTATCTATGAGACTGAATACAGTATTATATATAGATTCATAACAAGTCTAGCAGCTGACATAACAATTTTATAGTGCTTTAGAGTGTATGTAGCACATAATCTTTTTTTTTTTAAAGATTTTATTTATTTATTCATGAGAGACAGAGAGACAGAGAGAGGCAGAGACACAGGCAGAGGGAGAAGCAGGCTCCATGAAGGGAGCCTGACATGGGACTCAATCCCAGGTCTCCAGGATCACACCCCGGGCTGAAGGTGGCGCTACACCTCTGAGCCACCGGGGCTGCCCATGTAGCACATAATCTATTACTAATGACTTCAGGCATTGTGCACAAAGCATTCTGCCTCTCTCCTTGTGCCCTACAAAAGTGTTCCAAGATATTTTCATTGTTCAAATCCTACCTAGCTCGTGAACACAAGTGAATCACTAACTATCCAGAACCGTCCTGATCCTGGTTACTCTCTCTCTGCCAGTGGAATCAGAAGGAACAAAGAGTTGCCTCTATGCCACTCTGAAAAGCTTATAATATCCAATGAGTATTGTGGTTCACAAACTACAAAGGACCTCAGGAATGCCTCAGTCAGATTTTCTCCTATGTGCCATATGGCACTGAGGATATTCTGGGCATTTAATAATGTCCCTGGAGAATAAAATGCCAGTATTCACCAAATTACCGCTTTTTGCTGCCAAAGAACAATGAGGCTTCAATAATTTTCTCCTGTTACAGCAGAAATAGATAGGGCATGACTTCAACATGAGCAAACTGTGAAGATCACTCCAATGTGCACTTGTTTACATCAGCATGAGGGCTGGTTAGCATGGCTCTGTGCTTTGGCCAGAGACTGCTCCTAACCCCATTTAGCTATTTGAAAATGAGAGCCACAAATGAGAAAATGTGGCTCTGTACTACTCTCTCTGGACTTAGAAAACGAGACAACAAAAAATAAAAGCCTCAAATGTTTATAATGCTTCATCATAATTCAAAAGAATTGCTGGTAAATTCACCCAGTAAACTCCTTAAATTTATAAGATGGGGACATCATCTTATTTATCAAGCACTTGGTAATTGCCTTAATCTAGAATATACTCAGAAAATATGTTCAAAAGGATCGTGTATTCTATATAATTTCTATGTTCAACACAGGGGTGGTCTTAATAATTTTATTTCAATATATTCTCTTAGTTCTTATGGATGATGAAAAACACAATACTAGTTTTTCCATTCTGGCCAATCTGTTAAAGGAAACATTACTTATAAACAGATTCTAAGCTATCAGGATGGTAAATTAAAAATGTACTTGCATGGGGATCCCTGGGTGGCGCAGCGGTTTGGCGCCTGCCTTTGGCCCAGGGCGCGATCCTGGAGACCCAGGATCGAATCCCACATCGGGCTCCCGGTGCATGGAGCCTGCTTCTCCCTCCGCCTGTGTCTCTGCCTCTCTCTCTCTCTCTCTCTCTCTGTGACTATCATAAATAAATTTAAAAATTTTTTTAAAAAAATAAATAAAAAAAAATAAAAATGTACTTGCATGTTTTGGATACATTTTTAAAACCATTTGTCAGATTCTTGTTCTGGCAAGATTCTTACGACTAGCCACATTAGTTCTTGAGCTTAAAATGAATCTTATATTCTAGCTTCTTTCAATTAAGTAATAAATGCATATGGCTCTTCAGCATTTATTAGTGACAGACATTATTTATAAAATGATGAAATATGTTTTCATGTTCCATCTATCTGAAGAAAAATTAGCTTACTTTCCTACTTCTTGAAATACTTCCATTGGTAGATAAAATGATTGTTTCTACATTACCTAGTTTGATTATTTTTTCCAGCAAAGGACCCAAATCACACAGAATATACTAACTCGAGCCAATCTAAACATAGTGTCCCCTAAAAAACCTAATAAAGCCAAATGGCTGACAGACACATGAAAAAATGCTCAACATCACTCAGCAAAATCACAATGAGCAACCACCTCACACCTGTCAGAATGGCTAAAATTAACAACTCAGGAAACAACAGATGTTGTCAAGGACGCAGAGAAAGGGGAACCCTCTTACATTGTTGGTGGGAATGCAAACTGATGCAGCCACTCTGGAACAGTATGGCAGTTCCTTAAAAACATAAAGATAGACCTACCCTACAACCCAGCAACTACAATACTAGGTATCTATCCAAAGGATACAAAAATAGTCATTTGAAGGGGTACATGCACCCGAGTGTTTATAGCAGCAATGTCCACAATAGGCAAACTATGGAAAGAGCCCAGGTATCAATTAACAGATGAATGGCTAAAGGAGATGCGTTATATGCATACACAATGGAATATTATTCGGCCATCAAAAAGAATGAAATCTTGGGGAGCCTAGGTGGCTCAGCTGATTAAGTGTCTGCCTCTGACCCAGGTCATAAGCTTGTGGTCCTGGGATCGAACCCCATGTTGGAGTCTGCTTCTCCCCCTCTCTTTATCCCTTGCTTCTGCTCGTGCTCTATCTCAAATAAATAAAGAACAAAATCTTTCAAAGAAATTAAAAAATAAGAATAATGAAATCTTGCCATTTGCAACAACATGGATGGAACTAGAGGGTATTAGCTAAGTGAAATAAGTCAGTAGGAGGAAGACACCATATGATTTCATTTAAATGTGGAATTTAAGAAACAAAACAGATGAACATAGGAGAAGGGAAGGAAAAATAAAAATAAAAACAGAGAAGGAGGTAAACCATAAGAGACTTTTAAAGAATAAACAGGGTTGCTGGAAGGAAGGGGGGGGATGGGGTAACTAGGTGATGAGCATTAAGGAGGATATCTGATGTTATGAGCATTGGGTGTTGTATGCAACTGATGAATCACTAAATTCTATCCCTGAAACTAATAATAAACTATGTTAACTAAATTGAATTTAAATAAAAAATAAATAGGGACGACTGGGTGGCTTAGTGGTTGAGCGCCTGTCTGCCTTTGGCTCAGGGCATGATCCCCAAGTTCCAGGAACAAGTCCCGCATCGGGCTCCCTGTGGGGACCCTGCTTCTCCCCTCTGCCTATGTCTCTACCTCTCTCTGTGTCTCTCATGAGGAAATAAAATCTTAAATAATTAAAAAAAATTTTTTCTAAAGATTTTATTTATTTCTTCATGAGAGACACACACAGAGAGAGAGGCACAGACACAGGCAGAGGGAGAAGCAGGCTCCATGCAGGGAGCCCAATGTGGGACTTGATCCCGGGACTCCAGGATCAGGGCCTGAGCTGAAGGCAGATGCTTAACCACTAAGCCAGGTAGGCATCCCCCAAATTTTTTAAATTTTAATAAAGCAATGCTGTCATGCTAACTACTGACATCAAATTATTTCTCAAAGGATTTGAAGGACAAGGATTCCAGTATCTCTGTCACACATGTGCTGCTTTAGAAAATCTGCATCCATTTCTGAAAAGAGAAATATACACAAAAGATCTGAGAGCTGGGTGTGTGTGTGTGTGTGTGTGTGTGTGTGTGTGTGTAATACAAGGACCAAATCACAGCTTCAGTAAGTCTCCAAACCTGTCTTAGCCCCCCAAAAAACCAGATTCAATAACCACAGTGGAGGCTAACGAAGCAGGGCCAATTTTTGAAATAAAATTAATATGCTATATTTCCCTTGATATACAATTTTTAAGGCATTCATGACTTACTAGTAGAGAGCTGAATTATAGTAGGAAAGATTGTGAACAAAAGCTGAAAGAAGTTAACATGAAGTGGACAAAAACACTGCACTCTCTTACACACCACCCTACACATAAGCTGCTGCCCGCATACAGCCATGCTCACCTGTTCCCTCTACGTAAAACATGCTGCCCTCTTTCCAAGGTTGAGTAAATGCCAACTACTATCTGAAGTTTACCTGACCCTGACAGTCAGTAATTGCCTATCTTTTGAGTTTAAACATATTGTTAGACCTCTAAGATATTTATGCTTGAATGGTACCATGAGCATATCATAAAAGACCACCACCATTCCTCCACAATCCCCAAAACTACAAACCAGGGATGGAATTTTTTTCACTCTTGCTTCCCATCAATGCACAAAGCAGATACAAGTTAAGTATAAGAAATACGAAGTTTTAAAATAAAAAATTAAAAAAAAAAATAAAAAATAAGGGATCCCTGGGTGGCGCAGCGGTTTGGCGCCTGCCTTTGGCCCAGGGCGCGATCCTGGAGACCCGGGATCGAATCCCACGTCAGGCTCCTGGTGCATGGAGCCTGCTTCTCCCTCTGCCTGTGTCTCTGCCTCTCTCTCTCTCTCTCTCTCTCTCTCTCTCTCTCTGTGCCTATCATAAATAAATAAAAAATTAAAAAAAAATAAAGAAATACGAAGTTTTCATCTCAGACTTCCTCAAGAGAAAATAAAAGGCCAAATGTTCTGTCAAGAGTCACCTGCCTGGGACCCAGATCTTCTGTTTTAGGTCTGGGATTCTAATGACTGACTCTATAAGGTTTTAGGAATCTGGAGATTAGCATTTCCTAAAATAGTGTTTGCTGGACATTGTCTTGCAGGATGCTAATAGCTACATACATCAATTGGAAAAGTCTGGATTAAAATAAAGCTAAAATGATTACTTTTACTGTAGAACACCTGCAGGGCTTTAATATGGTAATAACACTACAAATTTCCAAGATAAAATTCCATCATGAAGCCTTTAGTAAACTAAGTTGAACAAGATCATGAAGAGAGTTTGGAAATGGTTCAAAGAAGGTTGTTTTGTATTGTTTCTAATTGTCACAATATTAGTGAATACTTCCTATCAGTTTCTACGATGCTCTTACCTGATATGCGTTGCAGGCAGAGATTCATACTGGCGAGACAAAAAGAGCTCCCTATGTTTCAGCTGATGTTTCTGTTTATCAGTCAAGTCCGCCTCAATTGTTGTTTCTGATTCTTCCTCAATTTCTTCTACACAAATAAAATTCAAAGAATGTATTACTACACGGCACATTATCTACCTGGACATTAAGACAGATCAATCATTTGTTCAAAATTTTCTTCAAACCAACTTTTGTTATTTTATTTTAAATTTACATATTTAACTTGTCATTTGAATTTACAACCATAAAATGACATGAATTGAGGCCACAAAGAGAAAGAACTGCGATTTTAAAATGGCAGATGGAACATGTGTATTTATCTCCTCTACTCTCATAAAAGCACCCCAAATTAAAAAATAAATAAATAAATAAATAAATAAATAAATAAATAAATAAATAAAAAGCACAGCAATGAAAATGTACACATATTTCAATGACAATAAAAGTGGAAACAATAATGGAGGAAAAACTTTCAGCCAAAAAAAGTTTTAGAAGATGGAAAGCAGATGTTAAAAAAAAAAAAAGTACAAGCTTAGCTAAGAGAAGGAAGTGACAATCTATATATTTGTATGTACAGATAGATAGATGCAAGGAGAAGGCAAGCACAAAGCTTGAGGTGACTTAGCCTTCAAAGATACTAAGTACTCTGAGAAAGAGGAATAGGCAAGAGAAAAAGCCAGGAGGAAGGTTGAAAGTCTATCTACAATACTGTAACTAAATCCCAGAATACTCCACTTGAAAAAAAGACATTAATAGGAAAAATGGAAATAGGATAACACTTCTCAAATATGATAACATGGGGGTGCATGGGTGGCTCAGTGGGTTAAGCAGCTGCCTTCAGCTCAGGTCACCATCTCAGGATCTCAACGTCCTAGGATCCAGCCTCAAGCCTCCCACCAAGGCTTCTTGCTCAGTGGGGAGCCTGCTTCCTTTTTCCCCTTTGCCTCTCTCCCTGCTCATGCAGGGTCTCTCTCAAATAAATAAATAAAATCTTTTTCAAAAAATTGAGAACACAAACAAAAAACTAATAGAAGGATCCAGAAGGTATTGCTAAGGAAATCTCCCAGAAATTTCAACACTAAGACAAAGAGATAAACCAGTAGAAAACGAAGTATAAAAAAAGAAAATAAAAAATAATTCACAAAACCCAACATCCCAAGCATAAAAGTTTCAGAAAGAAACAACAGAGAAAACACATTTCTTTATCTCTTTTGGTGGGGAGAGGGAGGAAAGGAACACCTATCAAAGAAATGATTCAGGGACATTTCCCAGACTGAATTTCTGGCATACTTAGTTACTTTTAAGTGCTAACATGAGATCCGAAAGTTTACGGAGAGAAAACATAAGTCACATGCAAAGAAACTAGCATCATAGTGGAATTCTATATGAATAGGAACACTATCCTAAGATGGTGAAGCAATGTTATCCAAAAGGAAAAATGATAGTCAACCTAGAATTATACTCGAAAATTGTAAACTATTTATCAAGTCTGGAAACAGAGTAAGAACAATCTTTCATTCATTCAACCAAGATTTATTAGATGCCCAAACAGGCACCATTCAAGGTGTTAGAGACAATCCGTGAGCAAAAGTTATTAGGAAGAAACAATTCAAAGCATTTGCCTTTGAGAAACAGAGTTGGAAGCAAGGGACAGGAGACAGCAAAGTTTCATAGTTTTTTTTTATTTTTTAACCCACTGCATTTAATAATATTTTTAAAGAAAAAAAGTTTAAAAAAGTAAAAAAAAAAATAAAAATAAAGAAAAAACAGTCACCAAGGGCATCTGGATGGCTTAGTCAGATAAGTGTCTGCCTTTGGCTTGGGTCATGATCCCCCGGTCTTGGGATTGAATCCCATGTCGAGCCCTGTATAGGGCTCCCTGCTCAGTGGGAGCCTGCTTCTCCCTCTCCTCCCTGCTCATGCTCTCTCTCGCTATCTCTGTCTCTCTCAAATAAATAAAATCTTTTAAAAAAGAAAAAAATGACCAAGTGTCATTTACAAATACAATTCCAAATACTTTTAGATAAAAAAAAATTCTTAATAGAATACCTCTAGGGGGCTTACAGATCCTCTGCAGCCTTACTGTGGCCAGACTGTGTGGGAATAGCAGGGGCACTAAGGACTCAGATGGTGAGACTACAGGGAGGGAGGTCAGGGGTGGGGGTTGCTCTTCATGTAGGAAGAGCTTCAGTTTAGGACTCAAGGACTTAATTTTGGGACACTGATGGGCAACACACACAGATATACATGTGTGTATATTTCTGCTTCTCGCTATTCTTAAAAGTTCTCATTTATGGACCCAGAACCACAAATGAGATTTGATCACATATATAATTCTCTAATTATAGCAGTGCTTTTAAACTGCATGAGGGCAATGAATGAAGCTAAACATGAGATCTTTTTTACAATATTTTCAATTTTTTTAAACTCTCAATTGAAAAACTAGTTTAGAAAAAGACTCACCTAATTCGACTAAAGCAACTTAAAATTCTTTGAATGTTCCTTTTTTATTAATTTTTATTTTTTTAAAAATATTTTATTTATTTGACAGAGTACTGGAGCACAAGCAGGGGGAGAGGCAGAGGGAGCAAGAAAGGGAACAGCAGACTCTCTGCTCACCAAGGAGCCCAATGCAGACTGGATCCCAGGACTCAGGGATCATGACCTAAGCTGAAGGCAGAGGCACTTCTGAGGCACTCAGGCACCCCCTGAATGTTCTTTTTAATGAACTACTCAAAGAGAAATCCAGCACTAAAACAGCCATTTACTTGCATAGATCAACAATGGAGATCAATGAAGTTATTGCTGCATTAGCTCTATTAGCACCAGCAAATACCACATACAAAATTATACCCTTTACTTAATGAGGATTTTGTTGTCCTGTAGAACACAACTAACTGAATTCTAATGCATACCCTATAGAGCTAAAATCACAACAAGCTCTACAAATAACAACAGCAAATCTTAATCTCTTCTACAACCTCTTGGTACAGGGTGAAAAGGACTAGAATCTCTGACATGCAACCGAGCCAAACACAAATCACCGAACAGCACCTAAAACTCACCTTCCAAAATTTACTAGTGTTAATTTTATTTATATATTTTCATAAATTTACACTAGCTTCCAAACAGGAACAACTCCCATGCCATTCACATCCTAAAGACATTAAATGACCACAATGGCAAAACTAGCATTTAGACAATGAAAAATTTAAAATACTTAATTACCATCATCAGAAATTGGGAACATAACATATTTATAATTTTTAATATAATTTTACCAAGCTTGATGGAACAAATTTGCTATAATTTCCAAAAGTTATTAAAGTAGAAGTCCTATACTCTATACAGTGATAGAAGAGATGGATACAAAATTATTTACTGTATTTTCCTTACAATTGGGAAAGTTTCACCACAGTTTATTAGCAAGAAGGCACTGGGGGCATGGAGAAGAGAAAGAGTATGAAGGAAACTGTACAATGGGATTGTATCAAGTGTTAAGGAGCAATATAAATGTCCCTATACTTAATACTGATATCTTCGGTTTTAGTAGTACATACCACACAATGCATGACCCACCAAGGCTCCCACAAATTTCTAAGTTGTAGACTGCAGGATGAGAAAGAAACCATACTAAAAAATCTCAGTCAGGCTCATCACACATGCAGGCTGAGGGGATGGGATATGGCCTGGACAAACAGTGTCCGAGACACAGAGGTCAGAGAACAAGTCAAACCAGCCAAACAGTCTGGAGCACTCAGCTATGAGATGTGGGAAATCAGTTTTTTCAGCAGTAGGTGTCAATCAGGGAATGAAGCAAAGCCCAGTTAGAAAATGGGCATGTGACATGTACAAGAGCAGAGCTGGAGACTGATGCATTCAGGTGCCTGAGCAACAAGGCACAGAATGCAGGGAAGGAGGGCAGCCCCGGTGGTGCAGTGGTTTGGCGCCGCCTGCAGCCTGGGGTGTGATCCTGGGGACCTGGGATCGAGTCCCACATCAGGCTCCCTGCATGGAGCCTGCTTCTCCCTCTGCCTCTCTCTCTGTCTCAATAAATAAATAAAATCTTTTATAAAAAAAAAAAAAAAAAGAATGCAGGGAAGGAGCAGCCATTACTGATCCTAGGTACTTGAGTCCCATACTGGGCTCCCTGCATGGAGCCTGCTTCACCCTCTGCCTATATCTCTGCCTCTCTCTCTCTGAAGAAACAAATAAAATCTCATGAATAAACAAATAAAATCTTTTTAAAACGGGGGGGGGGGGGGGATATTCCCTAACATTTAAAAAAAAAAACAAAAACAAAACTGAGTGTTTTTCAGAATAGACCAGAATTCTAATTCTTACTTATTAGTTGGGAGGGATGGAGGGGAAAGCAGACATGAGTAGAATCCTCCACAGGTTATTCCCAAACTTCCTTAGGTCTGTATTTTAATGGATTATCAGCACGTGATGATAAGATGTTAGTTGGTACAGACCATCCAGAAAAGTAAGCAGTTAAAAATTTGTCTGTAGATGCATTTAACAAGTACCCAAATGTTTGAAGGTATATTATTGGATTGAAAATAGCTTAGTATTAAAAAAAAAAAAAGAAAAAGAAAATAGCTTAGTATTGATGCAACTCAAGTGTGCCTTGTAAGAAAAAACAATCCTCAAAAAAGGAATAAGGTAGTTGAATAAAATTTTTATGACAATGAAGATTTCAGGAAACTATCTGAATGAAGAGAAACAGTATGGTAGCTTAAAGGCAAATAATAAAGAAAAACCAGTTATATTTCCATCATTAGCAATGAATAATCCAAACCCAAACTAAGAAAACAAAATCATTTACAATGGCACCAAAAGGAAAAAAATTACTTAGAAAAATACTCAACCAAGGACAAATCTTGTATACTAAAAACAATAAACACTGTTGAAAGAAATTAAAGACCTAGGCAGCCGAGGTGGCTCAGAGGTTTAGCACCGCCTTCAGCCCAGGGCCTGGTCCTGGAGACTCGGGATCGAGTCCCACACTGGGCTCCCTACATGGAGCCTGCTTCTCCTTCTGCCTGTGTCTCTGCCTCTGTGTGTGTGTGTGTGTGTCTCTCATGA